CATGATATCAGTTGACAGGATGTTCTGGACTTGGTGAACGGTGCTCAGGAAATTACACTAATATAGCTTTTACACGGTCAGTTCAGGTTTAAACAATGTGAATATATAAATGCACTGGCATAGGAATTATGTAATAACGATAAGAGGTCATTAGATGATGAGTGACTTATAAATTGGGTAGCAATGTACTGAGTTCAACTCAAATCACAGAAACAAGAGACAAGCAAAATTACACTTTTTTAAAGTGTATGTGTGTGGTGGGATGTGAGATTAAAGCCAAAGTTTACGTAATCAAATGAGAGAGAGACAGTGAATAATAATTATAATAATTTGCTTTATTCCATAAGCTGTACTAATGGTGCAGCAAGGAATGTTCAGCATTCAGTACAATATTGCATCTTATTTACTCAAAAACGACAAGCGAAACAAAACAAAAATAATAAAATAATAAACATTACATTATAATGATAACAAAACCTTGTTGTAGCAGCCATTTCGCAAATTACTGTATGCAATACGGAGAAAAATATGCATAAATTATAAAATTATAGTAATAATAGTAATAACTACTAAAATAAAAATAGCAAAGTCATAATTTTACGATAGAAAGGGTGACACCATAACATTACAGAAAGATGAACAATGAAAGGGTCGATTCACTTTGCTAATTACATAGTAACTTATATGCTTCACGTCTAACAGAGTCTTCATCACATAAAATACGGGCTAAATACGGTATTGTAGAATTTTTGTACTTAGTGGTACGAGCATATAATTTCTTATATTGACTTCTCGTTCTACCTGATGAGATACAAGGGGATAGTTGTGAATAAAGAGGGTGCAGATGGTCTGACAGTACGGCCTTTGTCCAATTTGTACAGGAATTTATGTGTCTCTCGTCTATAGTATTGGCGAGCTCATGCAGAGGCAAACCACAAGGCCTACTCACAGCATTTAACACCCTTCGTAATATGACATAGTCTTTTTCAAGAAGCTCAAGAAAGATTAATGGAGAGCAATAGAGTACAATAGGTAAAATACAGGAGTTTAAAACTTGCAGAACTAAAGGTTGGTTGATACCTGATTGTCTTAACTTTTTAATGTAGAAGGTAAGGCGAAACATTTTCTTAGAGATCAATAAAATGTGGGATGACCATGAAAGGTCAGAGGAAAGAACTAATCCAAGGTATTAAACGCTTGACTTGGTTTCAATTTCAGTGTCGTCTATGCTACAGGCATCATGGAAACTAACTAGTTCATGTATGTCACGTCGATGCTTGAAAGTAAAGTTAACTGCCTGACATTTGGAAGGATTTAACATAAGACCATTTGATTTAGACCACTTGCTGATGTCCAACAGAAAGCTATTAAGTTTGGAGCAGTCAGACTCAGTCAGACATCCAGTTACCAGATTGAGGGTAAGGAAAGACTGGTAACTGCTTCTTTCTGAACACACAAATTGGGTTTCGAGTGTTTGATAGAGATTGCTTTGGCAAACTTCAGCAGAACAGAGCATTTGTGTCCATTGGTGATTTTAAAGGATTTCGCGATTTCCACCTCATGACGCGTATCAAACGCTTGAATCAAGAATTCCTTACCCTCAATCTGGTAACTGAATGTCTTTTCTTTTTCTCGATCTCATTTGATTACGTAATCTTCGGGCTTAATGTCACCCCCGCACCACACACACACACTTTGATATATTGTAATTTTGCTTGTCTCTTGTTTCCATGATTTCAGGTGTACTCCTTGCATTCTCACCGAATGTATTAGTCTCTCAGCATTTACGCACCTCTCGATTTTATGACGTAACTCCTTTTCCATTGTATGCATACATTTGCTTTGTTTGGAATTGAACATCCTGTTTAAGTTTATATAAGTGTAATTTCCTGAGCACCGTTCGCTGAATCCGGACCATCCTGTCAACTGACATCATGTATAACTTTTGAGTATGTTAAAACTTTTCTGTACATAAATCTTATAAATTCTTTACGCTGTAAGCAAGCAGCTGATGAGAAGCCAACGAAATAAATGATGGTACCTTATTTTTCTACCTACCTGATAAGCATTATTTCAACTACAGGCGGATTGCACTGATGAGGATATGAAAGTGAGGATCCGGAAAGCATGGCAAGCTTTGATTACTCTCAAGTCTGTGTGGAGATAAACAGCATTCAGAATGAGGAACAAGATTCGGATTTTCAAATCCAATATGAAGTCAGTGCTACTAACTATACGGATTAGAGACTTGGCGCCGCATTACGAAGGGAACTTCAAACGAACTTAACATCTTCATCAACATCTGTCTTCGCTCAGTAATTCGCTCAACATCACATGGCCGGCCAGAAATGATCAATAACAGGGATCTGTGGCAATGAGCGAACCAACTCAGCGGGAACTGATTGTGCAGCAAATATGCAAGGGGAACTGGAGGTGGATTGGTCATACTCTGGGAAAACAAACCACCATCATGTGACATCACAAGCCAGGCCGTCGCTTGAGTGGAACACGAATGGCAAGCGGCGATTTGGTCGTCAGTGCGAGGGTGGCAACATGAAGGAGGTCATGTGAAGAGGAGATGAATGCACGTTGGCAGACGTGGAGCCAGGTGAAAATGTTGGTTGAGAACCGAACGCAATGGAGACGTGCAGTTGAAGCCCTTTGTCCATCTAGTAACTAAAGTATACCATATTATTCTGCACACACCACTGTTGCTCCTGCTTTGATCAGATCTTGTGTGTAGTGTAATTAAAAAATTATCAAGTGGATCAACATTTGAACAATGTACTTGATGCAACAGACGATTAGTTTCCGATCTTCTGTTTCTCAGGTTAACAAGTAGTTTTCAAATGTTCTTTGATTTTAACTTCAGAAGTTGTTAAATTTCAAAGTTTTGGTGTAAAATTGATTATGATTTGTACTTAAGGTAACATATTCACTCGGTAAATGTTAGTTTTTGTTTTTTGCATTGCTCTCAGTAGCTTTTGTGATTCTTGCGCAATACCAGTGAAGGATACTTTAAAATGTTGTACAGTTAACTTCCTTCAATGAAACACTTGAAGCAGTTAGCTCCATTTATGTTATTCCACCTGACATATTTCATTACACATAAGTTACATCTTCTTTTTATCATTATGATTTTGCCTCATCATGTTTCGATCACTTTGCAGGGCTATACACCAACATCATCACAGTACAATGTATAGAATGACAGTCAGATCTCTATCTACCTCAATTTCATCGACTTTGGAAAGACACGCTACAGACTTGACTGCAAAGTAATTTGCAAACTACTTCAACACTATGGTGTGAAGTTCCCAAATATTTATCAACCTCATTCAACAGCTGGCTGGTTATATGACAATGCTACGTGTCAGATGATCCACAATGGAAAACTTAGCAAAGTCTGGCTGTGAAATCAATACAGCAGTTGGACAAGGCTGACTAGCTGCTTGACTATTTATTTTCACAAATGATATTATTGACTGTGATGGACTGGATTATGCGTCACATCATATGTGAGGAATACGTTAGACTGATAGATATGAAGACTCTAGAAATTCTGGACTTCGTGCTTGTATGATTTATGTCTAACATCACACCACCTCGAAGACTTACAGGCAGGTGAAAAACTTTCAGAAGACGTGAGCAAGATACGGAGACAGGACTGCATGTGAACATGAAGAAGATGGAAGTGATGAGGATAACCGAAATGATGAAATCCTGTAACCAATCAACCAAATCCCTACAAACCAATACTTGGACAACCGAATAACCAGCCAAAGGTGACAACAACCAGCACCTATCACCAAATCAGTTCTTCAATATGGGTTAGAAACTTGATTAACCCGTCAAGAAGAAGATTTCAAGCGGATTGCAAACTTTTATCAACAACTGACTTCGCTGTCTCCATACTGAAGATCAAGCGGCCAGAAGGAATTGACAGCGAGAATCTCTGACTGGGAACAAACCAACCAAGAGCCGACTGCTCAACAAATATGTAGAAGTAAATGGAGATGGATGAAGCATACGCCACTGAGAAGGCCATTGAATGACATCGCGCGCAGTGCAGGCGATTTCTCGAGTGATATCCAGAAAGGAAATTGTGAGTTGGGCGTTTGTCCAAGAATGACATGGAGGAAATCGTATGGTGAGGAGGAGATTAGAGATTATGGGCGATCATGTGGTCAGTAAACTGAAGAGGACAGCCGAGAACAGAAAGGAGCGGAATGTGTTGTTGAAGCTTTATGTTCCACCCAGAACCCAAGGGAATTATTCTAAAATAATAAATATAATTTTGTCTCAATAACACATTTCATACATACTGAACGGTGTAAAACAAACGAAAGTCACGAAGGGAAGTACTGCTTCATAGTTATGAAGACTTAAATTTCTAGGGGAAGTGAGAAGCGCCTGATATCCAACGTCTGCTTAAAGTCACTCTCTCATTTACATATCTAGGATTCCAATATGAAAATTTCACATGGTAGAATCAATTGTGAGTGGGAAAACAAGTTTATTCTGTCCAGCTGGATAACAATGAAAAGCAAGCAAGACTTTATTCAAAGTACCTACAACTGATAAGAGAATACCGGACAGCATTTCACAACAGAGATAACAAACCAACACTGATTTTCTCATTTTGTTATATTTACATAAACTCAATGTTACTACAGAAAATAAATGTGGTTATAAATTGTCGGTTTATCAAGTTAATTAATGAATCTGGAAATATGCACATGTATGAATTACAGAAGGAGAAAAGAATAAAAATAATTGGAGATACAATTCATTCGTTAAATGTTGGAAGGTTTCTAAAACAATCATGTCCTTTCACCATTGTCGTGTCTGTATGAATCTTGAAAGTGTCGTAGACTTTTATGAACTTTGAGTTTTACTGATACTGTTTTGACTTTGTTTAACTACGACATAAAGTGAAGTGAAATCTGGTTTTCATTTAACGTGCAGAGGTGATGAATTGTTTGTGAGTGAGCACTTTTTTAAAGAAAATTATCACTGGAATCTGTTATGGTGAGTAGAGAGTTCAATTCAGAAAGTATACTGGGCGTTAAGTTTGGGTATATCTGAAAAAGAAAAGAAAATGATGGAACATTAATAAATGTGTGGTGTGTGCTACTGTGATAAGATTTACGAGTAGTATGTATATGAAGAGACTTTCATCGGCATAAAATAACATCAAAGAGTAAGGAGATAGATTTGACGTCAGTCAGAGAAAGCAAATGATTCAGAGTTACAAAAAGTATGGAAAACGTGAAGGGAATACAAAGAAACACAATACGAACGCTGGACAGAAGTAGCACAACACGGCAGATCTATGCATATAGTGCGTTGAACATAAGATGTACATAATTTCCCTAAATAGCGATATCAAACCACAAATAAGGCATCCTTATCTAGTCTTTGGAGTTCTACGGTTACAAAAGCACCTATAAAGGTTTATACGGAATCTGTCTAAGGTTGAACAAAACAGACCCTGAATCGAAAAATATCGTCCACAATTTCGAAGTTTCATGCTGCGCAACTTTATCAAGCTGAACACATCCTGAATGCCTTTTTCACCAGCTTTTGAAAATTAAAACAGCTAACCACAGAAGAGTTATTGATGTAGGCTACTTGTGATTGAGAATAAGAACTCGACTTCTCCATCAATGCAATCCGACATCCTGCTGACTGAACAAGGGGAAAGCATGCAAGCATATTATTTCATATTCTTAAATACATGCAGTACAGTATCAAATCCACAGTGTAATATTAGTGTGTCATGCAGTTGAATGTTCAGAATCTGTCACTGACCAAGAATGCCAATTATCGTATCGAGGGAAGTACTTATTTGGGGAACATCTGGGATAAAATGTGCTTGAAATGAATGATCCGGTGTTATAAAAACTTTATATTCCTAACTTATTGTTATTCGACACTGAAGAATTCACATACGTTTTACTAAGAAAGTATGGATTTATACCACTAGTCAGTCTCATACATAGGGAAAAGATTTTGAGAAGACATTTGTCTGACTCTTGATTATTTCTTAACACTTCAATTGAACAACCTTCATCGTTAGAAATAAGCGAATATAGGGAAGACAGAGGTGATCAATTATCACTTCTCTAGGCAACTTTATTTGGACTACAGGCGGCATGGATGAAGATGTCACAGCCTGGAAAAGTGAGGCAGACCTGTGATAATCCGAAATTGGTCTGGAAACTCGCTGCACTCATATTCGGATTCCCAGCACTAATGTCGACTCATTTCTGCTCTATTGTTAAGAGACTTAGCGAGCGATAAATCATTGCTATTGCAAACAGGCTCCAGACTTTTATCAGCAACTGCCTTGCTCTAAAATGAAAGATCAGATGGCCGAAATTATACTCTGCTGAGTTTGCATACCATTCATCTCAATCAATCAGTAGAACATGAATTTATGCTAATATTCTTGTTTTCCTCATTACCGTTTATGTTATCAAACAGATCACATATTATGATCTGAAAAATCTCTCTTTGCATAGGAAACTTCGCCACAATTTCATCACTCGAACTGTGTAGAATGCAAACTGTTAATTTGGTCAGATGGCCGGTTGGAAAAGAAAGGTGACAAAGATTTCCAGAACAGAGAGTACTAAATGATCATCAATCCCTCAACAAATATGCTACAGAAAATGGAAACTAATCGGACACAAGCCAAGGAGACCGGTAAATGACATCTCACGCCACGCAAATCCTCGAGTGACGAACTGGGCGTCTGATGGTCACAAATAGACAAGATCATGTGATGAGGAGATCAGAGTTAACAGGCGATCGTGGGGCCGACCAAAGACGACTGCACAGAGCAGGGGGAAACAGCGAAGGGTTGTTGAATCCCGATGTTCCACTCAGAACCTGAGGGAATAAAAATAATGTAACTGAATCTCTACTATATGTGTCTAGGCTTTTAGATTCAGTTTCTTACCATGATCGACATTATGTTCTCTTGCAACTGATCAACTGTTGCCGCTCCAATAACAACACTGCTAACATGTGGACACCGAAGACACCAAGCTGAATAAAGAAAACAGAGTGGATGGAGAAAAATAGCTTTGTTAGAATAAAAAAGCTTAAGTACATATTACAAATTTGTTGTGATTCACTAAAGTCTACAACGATGACTGACTGATGTGAGGTTGTTACGATCTGTGTCGCTAGTTGAAATGAACTCATCGGCAATTCGTTATGATCTCGTCGATAGCTGATATGACCGAGTGGACTGATGCGTGTGGGTATAATAATACTGACACAATGAACAACTCAGCTGATATGTTAGCCTTCCGGCTTCACTGAGCCACGTAAACATCAAAAGACAAAAACCAACCTGTGACTGTTTTAATACAACTTTTATTAGGAAAAACACGTCATGTTTACATACAAACTTTTACCACATTCAAATTGGTCTTGGGTAGTGGAAATGGATTAATCTGATTGATTGGCAGTTTGTCTGAGGTAGGAGAAAATAAATATTCTGATTGTTTGTCAATCTGATCAAGATCAAGGTGGGGAAAAGACGATAAATTTTAAAGTTATCCGATCACACGATGAATCACATGATTAGTCATAAGACGGTTACTATTTTGAGCTGATTCTTGTCAGAAGGAAACTAGTGAAATGAAAATATTTAACATCGTTATGTCATCTACAGCCGGTCAGACACGTTTCCATTGAGTTATCCGGGCTCGCGTTTGACCTCTTGTCCAATCAAAAAGTATTTAATACAGTCCTACAGGAGGTCAGTTTCGAGCCCGAATAAATAGCTCATTGGTAACGTCTCCGACCGGCTGCAGGCGACACTGGGTGACGTAGGTTCAAATCTCAGAAGGGTTGCGAGTTCCGTCAAGATTGAAGATACGCGTTGTTAATTGGTGAGTGCCAACTATCACGAAACCTAGGTCGAGCATAGCTTCCTGTGGCCGATTGCCACCAACCATCTGATGAAAACCTTATTCACTTAACTGAAAGGGCATCCATTATCAGTCAGCCTATATTCACACATATACCTCACATATGATATAACGACAGAACACGAAATTATATGCACCTTATCTTCGAAGCACCATCTGCACAGATCTTCCATGTTGTGCCACTTCTCCTCTTCCTTCGTATTGTGTTTCTGAATCATTTGCTTTCTGTGACTGACATCAAATCTCTCTCTGTCTCTCTGATATCTGATGTTTGTTTATGCTGATGAACATCTCTCTACACATATATACATACTACTGATAAATCTTATCATAGTATCACACATCACAATGACATAAAAAAGTGTCAGGATAAGAATGACTTACCAATAGCCAGTTGTGCACACGTACATTCAATTCGACTGGCTATTTTACACAGTTGCTTAACTTGTTCCCTTTGTGTTAAACCCTCTGTACTGAGAAGTTTATCTCGCATCTGCTGTTGACCCTTTGACAAGATTTGACAAATGAAGGTTTGAGAAATAGTAATGAGATAGGGGGTGCATAGATGATTTATAATATTAAAACACAATAAATTTCAGTTTAATTAACCCTCATCTATTTTACTTTTTATTAGCTGAAGTAAATTATTTCGGATGCTTATGGAAAATGACTTCAGGAATCCAACTGGATTGGTAAAATATTGTTATACTGAGAATTAGAACAAAACGTATAGGCGGAAAATATTGTTTTCAATTAGATCTTCTTCAGGCTTTACTCTAATTAACATAGATTTATATATAAAATATTTTAACCAATGAGGGTTACTTTGTGGATCAAATAATAATAATAAGGTAAATGTTTTGAGCCTCATTAATAACGGTGATTATAGTAATAACAAAATAATGATAATAAGGTTTATGCATATGGCGATAGGAATAACACCGGCAATAATACGTGTATATGTAGACAAATCAATAAACAAATTAGGTGAAATGTTAAAAGTTGCGTAATGGTTAAAAGGTGAAGCGAATAGATAATCAGAGTTTAAATAAATATCATAAAGCTACGAAAGGAATGGAAAATAAGAAAGGGTAGGAGGGCTTCTATTTAGAATTTACCTAGGCCAAGGGAGAACAAACTTTTGTATGCGAAGACACTGGGATCGTTCTCTCGAATTCCCGTAGCTTCAGACATGTTTAAAAGGTGGGTCTGAATTCCGTTCAAAAGGGTTGATGGAACACGATAAATAACTTTGAAGGCACTATTTCTGTCCATCTGGTAACCGCTATCAATCTAATGAGCCGAAATAGAACTTCTTATAGATTTTATTTGACCTTTCCCGAACCATGAAGGAAGATGCTCATTAATACGTTTGTTGAGCTGTCTAGTTCTTCGCCCTACATTTTTCTCCGAAGGAGTACCTTAATTTGTAGATACACATAGAAATGGCACAGTTAGGCAGCTTGTTTTTCGCTTGAGCAGTCACGATTGGTCCGCTGGAGAGTGAAAACAAAGGTTGCCGGCAGTATAAATCCGTTTTATTACTCTCAATAATCGTAGATGTAAGACTTCACTAGCGACGTCCCCATTAAAGTGAAATTTCAGGAGCACTTGTTTCTTTTTAACTGTTGTCAGCTTCTCGTTATTACATTCAGTGTTCATTTGTCTCCTTGCAAATCTACTAGGGCAAACCATTTGGACCAGCGTATTTTGGATGAATTCGAATTCATTTTCTAAGGAGTCATCTGTACAGATACGTCTCGCTCTATTCGTGAGGTATCTGACCGAGTTGATTTTATATCGAATGCGAATTTTTAAAACTGTTTGCTTATCGTAGATAATTAACCTAGTTTGTAATTGTTCTCACACTTTTCCTAATTGGAACCTCTTATATTCTTGTCTGAATGGGTATTTCTCGTGTCTTAAATCAAAAGCATAAATGAGAATTGCCCATCTGATACATGCATTTTAAGATTTAGTTTCTAATAGCCGGATTTCAATAGGTGGGCACCACAGACTTCAGTGAAGATCTACACAGAAAGACTACGAAATTCTCGGTTTGAGTATACAGACATTTTATTTACCATGAGTATTCCTCTATAACTTCATGCATTTATTCTCCTTTATGAATTTGAATTAAGCAAGAACAACAGATTGTGCAGAATAATATAGTACCATCATTGCTTATTCCGTTGGCTCCTCATCAGCTGCTTATGGCTTGCAAATTTTACTTGACGTCAGTTGACACGAGGTTCCAAACTTAGTGAGCGGTGCTCAGAAAATTACACTTTTATAGTTTTTGCACAGAGAGTTCACGTATGGACAAAGTAAATGTAGACACGCATACAATGGTGAAGACGAGAGATGCATTAGATGTTGAGTAACTAAAAAATTGTTTGAAAATGTACTGAATTAAACTCAAATCACAGAAACGTGAGACAAGCAACATCACATTATTTTGAAGTGCAGGGAGGGGGTGAGCTTAAAGCCAAAAACTACACAATAAAATGAAGAAGAAGGAGAGACAGTGAAGACATTCAGTTACCACACAAGGCAGATAAATACTATTAACTGCGTTTTTCTGAACACCGGAATAGGGTTTCAGGCGTTTGATAGAGATTGCTTTGGCAAACTTGAGGAGAATTGACCTTTTTAATTTGTTTATGATTTTAGAGTATTTTACGGCGTTCACCTCATGACCCGTATCAAGGAGGTGCCTGGTAATGGCACTGTTGAAAGCATTTCTTCCGTTGAGACATGTTCAGAAAATCGGAAGTATGCGCTACTTTCCGTTCTCCCAATATAAGTGCACCCACAGATACACATAAATTTGTAAACACAGTTAGATTTATTAACATGAGAAGGATATCTTTCATCTTTCGATTGCACTTAAACGGGGCATATTGTTCGATAAACGGGAACCAACTCAGCTAGCTGCAGGATAGGATAGTGAAATTTTCAACCTCTCATTGATTATTCCTGAAATATTATCAAGTTTCAAATCGAGTTCAATGAAGACAGGCTTCTCTCCCACTGTGATTTGTTTGGCATTAGGGCCTTCAAATCTCCCATACTTGTTAACGAACCTCTGGGAATAACCGTTGTTTTTCAAGATATATACGAAAATCAGAAACTTTTCCTGTAATTTCTCTGTAGAGCATATTCTCCTGACTGTCTATATAGGACAGAGTCTTTACGAGTGCTCGTTTATAGTTATTTGGACAAAATTATTAAAATGCATTCTTCATTTATTATTATTATCCCTGTGGGTTCAGAATGGAACGTGGGGCTGTAGTTACACACCTCCACTCCATTCTCTTTCTTCCGCTGTCCTCTTCAGCTAACTGATCTCACGATTGACCGAAATCTCTCATCTCTTCCTCCCCACACCTGCTCCTCCATGTCACCATCGGACACTCGCCCAACTCCTTACTTCCCACTGGGATTCCAGTCAAGCAATGGCCTGCATTGCACGTGATGTCACTCGATGACGTCCTCAGCGTGTGTCCAATCCATCTCCATTTTCTCCTACATATTTTTGAGCAGTCGGCTATCGACTGTTGGTTTGTCCACAGCCAGAGCTTCCTGTTGCTAATTGTTTCCGATCGGCTGGCTGGCCGTCCATTTAATCCTCAGTATAAAGTCATTGAAGCCAGTAGTTGATAAGTGTCTGTGGTGGACTGTTAGAAATCCTTTTCGTGATGCGGCAGCCAAGTTTCTGACCCACATAAAACAACTGACTGACTGACTAGACATGGGTGTTGAAAACCAAAATCTCGTCGTTTATGCTAACGACTGCAGAAGATGTTCGAACTGGTTTCAGGTTGTTGAAGTCGTATCATAACTTTGCGATTCCGAATGGCTTCGACATCTTCATCCGATCCAACTGCCTGTGGTTAGAACGGCGCATCCTAGATAAGTGAAGGAAGTGACCTCGTTTAAATTTCTCCAGTTGACCCGGTGATGGTGATTAGTGCCGGTTGTTGTTACTGTTGGCTAGTTGGTTGGTTATCTTCATCACCCTCATCTTCTTCATGTTCACCCACAGTCCTGTTTCCACTGCCTCCTTGTCTCTTCTGCCAGTTTGTTGGTCTTCGCCTGCTAGCCAGCAAGTCTTGAAGTCTGTGTGAAATTCAACATAAGTCATCCAAGCATCGAATCCACATCTTCTAGAGTCTTCATATTGGTCAGTCCAACGTATTCCAGTCTCCTCGCTTCCCACGTACAATGTGTCGCATAATCCAGTCCGCGACAGTCAGCAATAACACCGATCATGATAGTCAGACAGGCAGCCTTGTCTTACTCCTATATTAACTTCAATACATTCTTTAATATTTAACCAATATTGTGGTAGATTAATTATTAGTGCACATAAAAACTCACCTTCAATGTAGCTCTTGAGAAATTCGGAATAATGTCGAGGTATTTTCCAGTCAGAATTCCACCGGCAAGTGGAGATCCAGTCATGACACCAATATCTGAAATATGAAGAGTAGCTAATCTAACATCATTGTTATGTCATTTTATGCATACACACTATGTTCAATCAATAAGTCTTCCAAGCACTGACTCTTCATTCGGGATACTGCCAGGATTCGTACTTTCATATAAGACGATATGAAATAATTTTTAAGGAGCTCTTAATGATCGAAATGCCTCTATTTTTGACGATGAGTAGTGAACTATGTATGTAATCTTCTGGCGAATTGGAAAGCGGATTGATCATTTTCGTAGAAGCACATGTGCTTGCCGGTAGAAAAGACTTTATCAACTGTCATGTTCCTTAAGTCTAAGTCTTTGGGTGGGCGCTTATTTCCTTAAAGAATACGCCATGTTAACAGCTGATCCTGTATCGTCAAAATAGTCAACTTTAGTGTCACTTTATTATTAAACTGCTAAAAATCATGAAGTTATTTACCCTAATGCGAATTCCCTGCTAAAAGTAGACGTTAGTGAATAATCGTCTTGAAAAATGATTGTTCTTCATAGTTTACTTGGAACCCACTTTGGATACTATTCAGTAACTAGTGTAATGTGTCTAGTTCTACCAATCATGTTTATAATGCGGCGACCATTCCAGGTAGTTAGCCATCACTATACGCTGGGAATTGTTGATGTCATAGATTTAGGGGCAATCAGCAGGAAGCCTTGCTCGACCTAGGTTTCGTGCTAGTTGACAATCGTCAGTCAGGAAGGCAGGCATATCTGCAAACTAGAGGGAATTCATGTCTCTTATGAGATTCGAACTTGAGTCACCCACTGCCGCTTGCAGTCACAGATGGTTGCCAATTGCCTACAACCACCTAAGACCATTTATGTGTTCCAGGATTCGATTCCTGGTAGGCGCACATCTTTGCCTTTCCTGGCCGCTTGTAAAGCATTAAAACATAAGGAATGTTGGGCGTGAGGCTAGTTATCGTGTGCCTGAAAACACCTATGCTACTGGAAATTCCAAGCTCAGCTTGAAGTCCTATGTTCCACTGGGAACGCAAAGAAATTAAAAAGAATACCATAATAAGGGGAAACAGGGCTTCAAAATAACTGTGCACAATTTATCCTCTCTTTGCTTCCCCACAAACGTGCACTATTGGTCCTGTTTAGGTTTCAGTGACTTCATATAGTTGAACCAGAATACTACCAGTGATGTAAGTCGTCATTTAGCTCATTTCCTCTCCTTTTTACAGCAAGTTTGTATGTTCAGGATACACAGAAATCATGTAACCAAGTCATTATCCTTGTAAATGTTGATACTGTGTTTAATTATCTTCTGTTGCGTCTATATATGTCCAAATCAAGTTCACATTTAACAGTTTGAATAACTCTGGGCATTAGGTATTTGTGTGATATTCATTATTATAAAAGTTCTTTTTGTATTTCCCAGTGTGAATGAAAAACAAAAACGATATCGTTGTTTTTTGTACTGACATTTTGCTATTTTGATGCTGCCGCTAATAGCTTTATCAAAGTGTTGGTATTATTAAACCAGAATTTACAAAATTTCAAGTTGTATTGTATAACAACCCAATCATCATCTATACCTTGTCAAGTTGACCAACTAATGAATATAACAAAACCATGTATAGAGTGTTGGATTTGATAAGCGTATAAAATAACGAAATTGCTTATCACATTCGTGTTGATTTTGTTATTTCATGGGAGAGGGAGAGATGGGTGTTGTAACCAGGTCAAATTCTGTTTTACTCCTTCATTCCTATGCAGCTCAGACAATTTGGATTCCGCTGGATATCAAGTGCTTCTGGTGACATTAGACGTTCTTTGTGATTTCTGAAATTCTTCTGGATTAACTCAATATTGTCAAAATCAATTTTGTGGCCTGATTCTATAGCGAAGTGTGTAGACGACCGATGGGTGATGATTTTTGAAGGTTCCCTAGTTCAACTGGATTAATCTGTGGTTGAGCAGACATTCATTCTACGGTCATCATTTTCTCTGATTATCCTGATTTCTCTCTGTTGAGATTTGTCCCATGAATATGGCATCATAGTCCAAGGATTTTATTTTGCAGACACAGTTAGATTGGGAATGCTTAGACGTTCGGTCTTTCACGTGGACAAGACTGATTTGTAGTGTGTGTGCGTGTCTAATGTTTTGAAGAAAACTCTGATGTTGTTTTTATTCAATACTCCTCTTCTGGTATCGTCTGACGTATTTGACGGTCTATACGAAATGACAATAGTTGAGGCTGATGTCTTCTGAATACATTTTCGACCATTTTTAATTTGTTGATGATTTTGTTGATGAAGTTCTTTGAGTGGTTATTTTTCTCTCAAGAGAATCTCAGTAATGTTTGATATTTCTTCGTCTTCTCCTCTTTCCTTCTCTGTTTTGCCTTAAAGTGTCGAGGAACAAGTGTGTATTTTTTAATAGTCAAATATAATTTTCTATTGATAAGAAAAAGTGGAGAAAATGAAGGAGGATCGCTGTGCACACTGTTGTTGTCTGATTACACATAAGCAGAAACACACACACGCACACGCACACAGATACTCGCACGCACAACACTTATAACATTCGGAGATGAAGTCCACAGAACAACCAAATGCTACTCTTCAATTTCTTGTTTTATTATTGTTCTAATCAAGAATGATGTGTTTTTAAGTGGTTTCTATATTTTGGAGCATTTTTAAAAGGTTGATAAAGTTGATTTCAGTAATCGTCATTTTCACTTACTTAATTTGACACAAACTTCTCGCATATTTTGTAATTGACCTCTGTTCAACAGATTCAGTTCATTTTGATCGACGGATGGAGGGATTAGATTGAATTGTCTAGCAATAGTTTGAGCTTGCTTTAATTAAAGAAAATAAAGCAGAAAATTAAAATGCGCAGAAAGAAATTATCTGTTAAGAGAGTGTAAACCGTATTCACAATGTTCATTTGATGAAATGCAGAAAAAAATGGGAAGTGAATTTCCCAGTTTCTGCAAACATTTTCCTTGTCCATCAAATTTCATTTGTACAGTTGTTGCTATCAACATATCACCACATTTTATTATTGATATTCTCTTAGGTTTCGAGTGGAATATAGGGCTTCAGCAACACGCCTTCAACTTGTTCTTTTCTCTGCTGTCCTCTTCATATGACTGACCACACGATTGCCCATAATATCTTATCTACTCTTCCCCCACACGACCTTCTCCACGTCACTATCGGACACACGCCTAATTCGTAGTTTCCCACTGGGACTCCACTCAAACAATGGCCTGCATTGAAAGCGATGTCATTTAACGGCCTTCTCAGTGTATGCACAATCCACCTCCATTCTCTTCTGCATATTTGTTGAGCAATCGGATCTCGTTTGTTCGTTTTTCCCCGACCAGAGTTTCATCTTGCTAATTCTTTCTGGTCGGCTGACCAGCAATTTGATCTTCAGTATGGAGTCACCGAAGGCAGCTGTTGATGAAAGTCTTTAGTATTCTGTTGGAAATTTTTATCGTGTCATGCAGTGCAACATTCTGACCTGTATAAAAGAAGTGACTGACTAACTTCATATTTGTGTTGAACAGAATACGAATCTTGTACTTCATGCTGAGTTGGTGTTCAGATGATTTTTGAACTTATTTCATATTTATGAAGATGTATCATACCTTTCTGATACTGCTTTTGACATCTTTGTCGGACCCTATACAATAGGATAATGGCTGAACGAGCTCGCCAAACTTGTAACAAGAAGGTCCTGTGTTCTGGTCCTGTCCTGGTGGTTTTCCGATGGTCCTCTTACCGATGTCCGTTCATGATAAAATCCAGAAACCAAACATGAAATCCATGCAAACCAACAATTTAATAACACAGTATTCCTTGATCCACATCAGGGTTACACAGTTATTCGTGAACATTTTGATATGGATAATCACCAGATTCCCCCTTTTTATTCATAACCACATCAATGATTATATAGTCTTTCTTAATTAATAGTCCGGTGCCAATTTACTTCCCCTTTTAACAATTTTTGTACTATTACTAGTGAAAGCTTCGTCGTTTGTTGACAATCAAATATACACACTAAATGGGTGAATAGTTTCCGTGTAACAAACTTATTATAATTATGTTCACTATCACTTTGTGGTATATCTCCTGTATTTAGTAACATTTCAATGCCTGTTAGTTTGCATGTGCACCTTTAGTTATCCAACATCCAGGTCAGTTGTAAAATACACACACAGTTGTACAACAAGTCTCTGTACTATAATATAACATAATATGTAGCTTAAATTAGGATAGAATTGGCTGACATAAAGTGTTTGAGGATTTTCTCTAAGAAATTTAGTGATCTTTACGTTATAATCAATCGAATTACATTCTGACTGAATCAATAAACTGGCGATACTATGTAATCTATGTCATTCTATCCGTTGCTATTTTACCTCATGCTCCTGGTATGTTTCCCACTGACATTCGTCATGGGTCTTTATTTTTTAACTTCATAAGTAAACGGATGCCGAATATCACAACTGTTCCTAAGAAAACTCTCTTCATGAACCTGGAATTTAAAGGTGATACTGAAGCTGAAATTCTCAGAAACTGCCTATCTAAATGTCTGATGGAGACATTTCAACTAATCACCTTACGCATCACCTTCTCCAGGAGACAGTTAATGAAGTCAGTCTAACGCTAAAGGATAAGATACCGCTTTTGACCAACTCAGCGTATGTTTATCAGTTTACTTACTTGTTCGTTTGGAGCAGAGTACATCGGCCGTGTGCAACGTCAAGTTCGCAAACGTATTCTGGAAGACTGTCCAATTTGGGTAGCTAGCCAGAGGAGAAAAGAAGAATACTAGCAGCTCCATCCTCGAACACCTAGTCAACTCTGGACATCCAGCACCCCTATCTGCATGCATGCTTCACAGTGCTACACAGAGTCCCTCAATATCATACGAAAGGACTTGGAATACGCCGTCAGCACATAGTTGAATCTTTGGCTATTCAGGATCTGAAACCGGACCTCTGCATGCAAAATCACTACATACATTCACTCGCACTACTGTGGCCAGAGTAAAGTCCTAACTAAAATTTTATTCCAATCTATTATGTAAGTTTGGTATTATTATTATTCTCATCATCCTTATTTTATTATCACTCTATTACTGTTTATTAATAACATTGCATTTTCATACAGATTTTATATAAAAACACCTAATCATCTTAACACTACTTCTTGCCCACTCTAACCAATTATACTGATTAGTAATTTTCTCACACTTATTACATCATACCAACTTCTGTCCCCTTTTCTGATTTCTAATTAGTAGCCCCTTCTAGATTACACCTTGCATTACGTAATACATTTTCGGGGACAAATTTTATCAGTATCCGATTGGTTGTCATATGAATTGTTTATTAAATATAATTACGATTGTACAGCTTATGAAAATGAATCGTCGAAAAGAAAATTTTCTTCCCTGTTTACGTGTTCTTTTTCTTATAAATAGGCACTGGCAGCAGAACTGTCACATCTAACCAAAAGGGATTTCCTTAAGAATTTTGAAAATATTATTCCTAAGCGGTTTCAACATAAGAGCTAATAATTTCAGCATTTTCAAAGCTCATCTCCTAGCAGTCTTTCTGTATAAATGTATCACAGCTCCATAATTGATCAGTTTGCTGACAGTTGACTCCACAAAATAAAACACCAACATTTCAGGGCTAATTCATAGAAATCAAAATAATACTGAGATATTTCAAGGAGAGGTGTTATCATACAAATCATTTGATTACTATTTATGTAAATGCTCCTCATCTTGTAAGGATATCTGTTGGACTGAATGTTCATGAAAAGTAGAGAAAGTTGAACGTGTAAACTGCTTGAAATTGTAGGCTTCTTGCCGAATGTATTTAAAACCAGTAAGATAAAATTTTGAATAAAGTATCACTCATGAAGTATAAGTGACATGACTTGTAAGTGAGGAGATATTACTCATAACTTTAATGTCAGGTATATGAGTAGAAAAATCATTTTGCTCTGTGGTGAACTTCGTTGAAGTCGAACTCTCCTGGTGTTGTCTGGCCATCAATGAATTTATATTCTATACTAGAAGGCATTGCAACTTATCGTTCTAATCTGTCATTTAGTATTCAGTATTACCAGAACTTTAATTCCTTATCAGATAAGTTTATTCGAAATATCCAACAGTCATGATGCAGTATTAACAACTGGATGTGACAAGGTTTTCGGCATAAATTACTGCCACTCATAATCATCAATCAATTTTAGCCAGCACGGTTTTACAACTTGTATTCTGCACATATTTTCTCTCTTTCTTTCTCTCCAAACTTCCTTTTCTTTTTTGATGCCACTTTTCATGTCTCCCCTATAAGCACTGCGTCATTCCCATCGCTCGTGTGCGGCGACGAGTCAATAAACAAAGCTTCAGTGATTAACCTATATCTCTGTCTCCCCACCTAACCATATCACTTTTTAACACTCACCCTGTCCAACTCAACCTATTTTGTGAATACATGCAAGTGAATATAGTACGGTGACTGAGCTTTCTTCTAGGTTATTTAACTCCAATAGTCTAATTAACCCCAATCTACTAGTTTCAAGAGAGAGACAGATTAATCACTGAAACTTCGTTTGGTTGGAGTATTTCATCATGAGCTGACATCACTCAGAGAGCCATTGGAAAACCTGGGAGTACTGGACATTTGTTTCGTCCTGGTTTAGGAACCTTCAGCAGCATGTGCCCACCGGGGCTCGAAACCAGGACATTCTAACTGATGTCAGCTCATGATGAAATACTCCAACCAATCAAATAAAAGATTCCTACAAAAACAATACTTGAAAATTGTAACTTTGTTTATCGATTCGGCACCGCACACGAGCAACTGGAATGACGCAATGCTTATACTGGAGACATGAATAGTGGTGACAAGCAACAGAGGTAAATTGTATAGAGAAAGACAGAAAGAGATAATATATATATAAGACAAAAGTGTGAAACCGTGTGACTAAAATTGATATGATTATGCGTAGCAATAATTTATGCTTGAAAGCTTGTCACCCAGCTGGTAATACTGCATCATCATCATCACTGTGTGATATTTAAAACAAGATTATACGGAATTACATTCTACCAGCACAGTGACCAAGTTCTACACTTACATTATCAGAACATTAGCCAAATTAAATACGCATTAATTAGTACAGGTGTAAACCTTGAGTACTGTGGTATAATGTAATATCATATCAATCTGTTTATCGGATATATCACACAATGATGAAACAGCACTGTTTACTGGATGACAACGCTTCGAACACAATTTATTGTTCTTCATCATATAAACTGTCACTCCACAACTTTAAAACTTGACTTTTATCATCCTCATTCTCACTTCTCATTTAAGAACACACGTAAGTCAACAAACAGATCGTCTTTCGGAATCTTATTTCACATCTGTTCAGTTACTTAGGCGCTTATATATACAAAGTTAATTTACAACAAAGGTCAAAGGTTATTCTCGGATACTAGTGGAATAAATCGACGTGTATGAGAAGTAACAAAATGGTGAGCAATCTTACGGAGTCAAGAGAGTTGATAATTAACAATTTAAGTGATGGACAATTATGGATATTATTTGGATATATAACTATATTGTTGGTTTTACAGGGATTTGATGGGTTACATGTTTTGATCCAAGATTTTCTGGTGGTTTTCTAAGTTATGTTGTCAACTCGCGATCGAAATATGTAACTACAGAGCTTGATGAAGAAGTTATTGGAAAGAATACGGTTTGTTCAGTGATCAGCCTGATAAACAATAATTAGGAGGAAATTGATGTTCGAAAACATGGCAACTGAGGATTGAAAACGGAGTGAAAAAATAAAAATAAAAAGGCTTCTCAGAGTTTATTATACAACAACTGAAGAAAACGATATTGGCATTTAGGTCACGGCAGGACATGAGACTGGATAAAACATTTCTGAATATGAAGTTCAAGTTTTTCTTTATCGATTACCAGAAATTCAGCTGCATAAAGAAACTTTAAGCGAAATTCATTGGAACGGTTCGATCTTAATCTATATATGACTGTGAATGAAGCCTCTGCTGATGCCGCCTTTCAAGAATTGAGCTACTGATTATTCTGCGTTCTACTTTCGACAAATATTCAGGTACTCACTCATGAAGTCATTCATTCATCACTTGATAATTCGGAATTGTGAGGCAGTAGAATTTTCCAGATAACCAAGATAAGTGTTGAGATATTCCTATTGCACGTTTTCGCAGTTGATTCGACGGATAAAGCTTCAGTTCTGAATCTCTCTCCATGCCTGCTGTTACATTAGATTTTAGTACAATCACTTCGTCCCATCCTATTGTTTGGTTATACGTTACTTTATTCAATCCTATAGCTGGGTGTTTCCGAATCCCTCTCTTTGTTATGGTCAGGTAATCTAGATTTCGTCAGTTCTTTGTACTCCACTGAGACTTACTGACCCTGGTCTACAACATGGAATTATGTATTAAACCTCTCAATCATTATTTGATATTAGATAAACTAATTTATTCTATTTAATGGGCTTCACAGGTTCCTATAACCGACATTGGCTTTCCTCCTGGATAATTCTACTACTGTAAAGACAAATGGAGAAGGAGAATGAGAACTGTGGTGATCAAGTTTCAAAGTTGTGTGTGTGGTTATATTTGCTGAAGTGATTATGAACAATAAATTATGTTCAAAACGTCATCCATTAAATAGTACCATTTTATATATCCGATAAACTTATTATTATTAGCATGGAATTAAGTATAGCTACAACGGTCAATAATCAGTGGATTGTAAATCCCTTTTCAGCAGCTACAAACGAAGTTATTTAACCACACCGTCTACTCTGTTTGAGATTAGAAAAAACGATATTTTTTGAAAAAGGAATTCTCTCCTTCGTCTGATTCGATCATCAGTTTCGTATAGAAATAGCAAAATGTTATAATTATTGAATCCCAGTTAATTTTGTCTGCTGACATTTATCACATTTTTTCTCAAAGATATGTGTGATAAGGGTTGCTTTACATATCGATTAAGAGAAATTGTGATATGTTGAGATTTTTATATTAGACGATGGTTCTACATTCTGGAAGTAAATCTCAGATAAAAGGTGTAATATACTTTTTTATTTAGAAAATTGCTGCTTTTATAAACGAAGATTAGTCAATAAAAAATGGAGATTGGCGTTAAGTGGCAATAAATATTCAAATGCTGAATTTCTACTACTCGCTAAGGGATTTCAGACTCGTCTAATTTACTAGCTCGCTAGTTTGCTAGCCTATTCGAAGCGAGGGGAAAGAGGGAGAGTTGAGCGGGCGCCGGGCTAGCGATTTTACTTCAGAGAATCAACCAAACTGCTACAGAAGTATCAATGCAGAAGAATAATATCCAAAACGAATCTTTTTTTCACTGGAATCGGAGAGGCGAAATGACACGGGGCTGGTGAATCTTTCGGAAAGCTAGTCAGCCGATGTGTCTTCTTTCTATGAAAGCAAGAATAAGAATGGGAGCATGAAATGATCGCACAATATACGATACTGGAAAGGCCGCGCAGTTAGCCAACGAAATGCGAAGACATGGTATAGACAAGCATAGAATCTGTAGGAGCAGGTATGATGGATGGGGACTAGTCAAATTGTCAACTGGAGAGGCAGTAATCTACTCTGGTCAACCAGAAGACAACTGCAAGCACAGTGAGTCATTGAGTGGCTATCATGATGTCATCAACAGTTCTGAAATCTAATAAGTGCAGTTGTCTGTATTCATCGAATCAACTGAAGCGAATACTCAAGTACTGGTGAACTAGTAGAAGTTAGAATTCATGTGCTAGCTGGCCACTGGATCGAGTCCCAGTGGCTTAATCGTCTACGAGGTCGCTAGCCTTGTAAACAGAAGGTCCTGGATTCGAACCCTTGTGGGTGCGAAATTCTGAAGCGAATACATATATAATAGGAAAGATTCAACACCTGTCCAGTTGGACATCTGGAAAATTCTACTACCATCCCCTCTACGACGACGAATAGGAAAAAATAAAGAATAAAGCTATGAAACTCAATTTTCGAAGTTGTGTGATTATAGCTGATGAAATGATTATGAGCAGCAATAAATGGTGTTCGAAACTTTGTCATCCAGTAAATAATAATACTGCTTCTTCACTGTGAGATATATCTAATGAACAAATTAATATGGAATTACATACTACCACAGTGTCTAAGTTTTAAACACAAATTAACAGCACGTATAAACATGAACTAACGTAGCACCATACGCATTTTCGCTGTATAGTAGACAGTAGTATGTGCAGATATAAACCAAAGATAGTAGTTTTGTGCTACACGTAATCATACTGAAGATCTAATGACCAGAAATAACTAGTAGCATGAAACTCTTGCTGGGAACAAACCAACAGGCGAGAGTCGATTGCTCAACAAAAATGTAGGAGAAAGTGGAGATGGATTGGGCATACATTGACGAGGCCATCAAATGACATCGCGCACAATGCAGCCCATCACTCGAGGGGAACCTGATTTGGAAAAAACGAGTGTGTCGTCCCAGGGTGATATAGAGGAGATCGTGTGGGATGGCGAACATGAGAGACTGGGGTTAATCGCGGACCCATTTAAAGAGACATCAGAAAATATAACGGAATCTAGATGTGCTGTTGAAGTCCTACGTTCCACTCCGAACCCAAAGGAATAATAATAATACACGTAATCACTTAAAAAATAAGACAGATAAACCTCTTAAAACTTACCATAATTTCAGACGGTAACCATTCAGATGTCCCCCAGTAGAATGTCCATCCCAGGTGTATAAGATGTGTACAAGTTCTGACAACTTCTTCAACTGGAATCAATGAGTCTTTTTGACGTGTTACAATTACAATATCTACATATTCAAGTTGAAGTCTTTCTAATGAAGAACGAAGACCTAATTGAGAAAAAAACAATAAAAATAAAAATAATAGAATTGGCTTGTGAAGTTAGAGTTTTGAAACGTTGTACACACACTAAAATACAAAATTCAGCCAGAGTTCTGAAAAATATGGAGACTTCCATGTCTAACAATTTTATGATTAAGACTGACATACATTAACTTCTCGTTTCATGTAGAGGTTGCATACAGTCTGGGTTAAGCATGTATCTCATCTACTGATTTCTCTTGAGTCACTTTCCTCTCACCTAAATACAATAATTATAATTACAGAACACAATTTACCCAAATACGTATTTTCGATAAATTCTCATTAGGATTTACATTTACATAATGACGAAACATTAGCGGTCAAAGGCAATCGAATTCATGTGGTTAATAAAATATCAAGGATCAGAGTTTAGGGATATGAATTAATGGGTAATAATCGAGGTGATCATAATAATGATAATAGCAACAAGGTAGATTCAATCAAGTGTTTATATAATCTAGGCAACAGTGAGTGCATAAGTAGAATGTGCATACAATTAGGTGTAGTGGGGAAAATAGCGATTAGATAAGATAATAATAATAATAAATTGTGAAACCAAGGATAAAAAGTCCAACAACAGCATAGCACAGAATGATACTGATAATACAATTAGCATTACAGCTAAGATAAAATAAAAATATAAAAAAGATAACATTTACAGTTACCCCGTGTCACGAAAAAAGAGAACTATTTCCGGTTGACGACGAAGGCCAAGGGATGGAGGGACACTGAACAAACGTTTCCTGAACACAGAGATTGGGTTGAAAATCATTATGGCAACTGCCTCAGCTTTGCTTAGTAACCGAGGAGGTGTGGCACCTTGCATAGAGGTCTGGAAGGTGAATTTTTGTCAGTTGTGTGCCCTGTATCAACTAGATGTGTCAGTATGGAACTTCTGATTCCCTTCGCGACTGTTCTACCTAACTATGTGGGACGATGCTCTAGAAGGCCACGGTGAGTTTGCTGAGTCGTTCTACTATGTAGCTGTTTCCACATGAACAGTCGCATTTATAAATGTACATTGAAGTGGCCAGATTCGGCAGCTTATCCTTCACCGGTGCTGAAATTATACAACGAGTGATGAATTTTAAACACAATTTTGTGGCAAAGAATGTTTTAGCTATTATCTTTGGAAGTTTCGATGTCAGCAATTCAGTTGCTGCGTCTGATCTAAACGATAAAGTCACATCTATATGTTTTTCTCTGCACAATTTGTAGGCATTTCTTTCTATCTGTTCTCCTCGTCGAGACTTCAACAAATTTTTCGGCGCATCGGTTCTCGTATAAAAAGTTTTCTATGTCCTTATTTCGCCGTCAAGAATGTCGGTTGTGCAGATTTTTCTAGCACGATAAATCAAGATACTGATAATATTTCCTTTGTATGCAAGAGGAACAAAGGTTTTGAAATGGGTGTAATGCTCGTTCCAAGACTTCTTCCAGGAAATATTCCTCTGAATACTGCCATCTTGCTTTCTGGTTAGCAGTATATCACGAAATGATAAGGTGTTGTCTTTCTCCTTTTCATATGTGAATTCAATTTGCGGGTGCCCCACACTGAACGTTCGATGAAGGACCTCAGCATCGATTTTATTATTATGAAATATGAAAGTGTCCTTCGCATAAGTACAATAGAAAGAGAGTCCGTTGATTACGATTTTTGAATGGACAATATTCTCTATTTTTGGCATGAATCTATGGTCTAAGAGAGGACCTGGAGGGGAGTCCATTGTTTCACTCTCCACTTGACGGTAAAATTCGTTGTTAAACTGAAACTACACACTCAAGGTACAACGAATTAGCAATTCTTGTAGTGTTTGAGATAGTATACCTACGTCCATATCACTTTTTGCAATCTGTTCTCCTATTAATTCACTCCTCTCCTTCAAAATTGTAATATTTTCCACCTAAAATTAATCCAATTTCATTAGGGTGTAAATTCATGCAACATTTTTCTAAAAATGTTCACTACACTTTGAAATGTTAAGTTTTCAATGAATTTAGCGAACTATTTTCATTCTTCATCACTAAGACATCTAGTAAGTGCTTATATATAAATGTAATTTAGTAAATGGAAAATCCCCATATTGAAATCAAAACAAGATTTTGAGCGAACAATTGTTTTCGATAACTTCTTCTTCAGGCTCTACAGTTATAAATCCATGAATAATAGAGTACAGAAAAAAATGTGATGAAGTGTGAATGAACAATTGGGTGATATAGTGCTGTTTTATCGTCAACAGAATACAAGTGTCATTGGGGTGAGAAAAGTGCGATTTCTTATCTCAAGTATTTTGTCTGAGGCATTATCTAAAGCTTACCCGTAAACACGTCTATTTTTATCAACTTTTAGAGATTAGAGATATTTCCTTTGGACAGTTTCCTTACAACTGTTTCTCAGGATGTATGTGATATGTAGCTGAGAGATCTTAATGACGTGTATATTAAATTTTCTGTATTAGGTGAGGAATTATTTTCTTAGAAGTCAAATTCATTTAAACGTTTTGAATCAGGAATACTTGCTTTATAATCGTTCATTCGCTGTGCCGATTGGGACGTTATTCATTGAAATCACAAAATACACGGAAGCTGATAAGATTATGAACGTATCAGAATTTAGAAGACAAAAGAAAATTTGAGCAAAGAATATTCTTCTCGACAGTTTCCTCTTCTGGCTCTGCAGTTATATTTATACACAACATACACAGAGTATTCCAGAATAATCATCATTAGCAATATTGGCGTCGTTTACATACTATTGATTTGTTGAGATCACAACGGGATTACCACAGTTCAAGAAACATGCATTAGTTATAGTACTAAGTATAAAAATGTAATAGTAAATAGAATATCAAATATAATTCAGGATATTTCTACAACAAATTAAGGATCAGTAATGGTGTGGTTTGGAAAGCGTCTGAACCAACCAGTTTTTATATGCATAGATTAGACTACTTAATTAGCGGGAATTCCAACAGCCAGCCTCAGCAGTATGTAATAGATGAACTCTTGAGATGAAATTAGGCTTTTTTGGATGGCATACGTTAGATGATTTTGGAAGCAGCCTTGTTTACATTAATGTTGTGTTCTGTATCCACGACATGAGATAGAACAGAGTTATGAATGGACTTTGTTTGTCCCTTACTTCATCATCATTCTGGATGGTGTTCGGAAATCCGACGATGAAAACTCCTAATTGTGCGGCCTATGTAACTGGCACACTCCACAGAAACAGTCAAATTGGGGAGTACACATGGAAGTGGTGAAATTAGGTAGTTTATCTTTAACTCCCGAACACAGAATAGGGGTGGTTTTGAAGACACAGCATAATTCAGCAGCAGTGAATCCTCTATTTTTACCGCGTTCCTTATGCACTGTGTTAATGTCTCACTGATGTTATTATCGAGGAGTAACGCTGTTGGTACTTTCGTCTGCCTTGACTTTTGATTCATATTATTATAGATGAATTTTTATGGATAACCACTGTCACTCAGCAACTCTTCAATAATATTAAGCTCTTCATTTGAGCAATCATCAGAGCAGACAGCTTTATGGATAGAGTACTTTATCAGATTGTGTTTGTATTTCAAAGGTACGAAGCTGAAAAAATAAATATGTTGACCAGTTGATGTAGGTTTTCTTTGCACACTTCTTCTTATTGTACCTTCCTCTTTCCTAGTGAAAAGGACGTCGAGGAATGAAATACTCGAATTTCTTTCTTCCTCGATGATAGAATTTGTTGCAGGATGTGCATCTTCAGATTTGTCAAGTATATTCTCTACTTTATCCTCCTCATCGAAGCGTATCATTAATATACCGACAGTAGAATTCTAGTTCATCAGTCACATCTTAGATGTTTAAGTGAATAAACTATTATTTTTCCCTTGGATTTCAAGTGGAACATAGGACTTCAACAACAGCTCTACACATTGTTATATATTCTCCTGTCCTCTTCAGCTGGCCGAACCCATGACTGCCCATTATCTGTCACCTACTCCTCCTCACACGAAACCTCCATGTCACGCTCAGTCACACGCCCAGCCTGTCGCTTCCCATTGGGATTCCAGTAGAGTAATGATCTGTATTGCACGCTATATCATTCGGCAGCCTCCTCAGTGGCCTGTGGCTAATCCATCTCCACTTTTTCCTTAATATTTTTTGAACAACGGCTCTTGGTCGGTTCGTTCCTAGCCGGTATCTCATGTTGCTATTTCTTTCTGACCGGCTGGCCGGCCAGCCATTTGATCTTCAGTATGCAGTCAGCGAAGGCTGCAGTCTGCAGCCGACTGCTGGAAATGCTTTTCGTGAGGCGCAGTGCATGTTCCTGACCAATATGCAGAAGTACCAGATCAACATTAGTGTTTATATGTTTAGTGCAGAAGATTTCCAAATTCATTTCACAGTGATGAAGGCGTATCTTGCCCATCCAATTCAGGCTTTACCATCTCCATCCAGTCCGCTGGTCTGTAGTTGAAACGATGCTTCCTAACCAGATAAATGAAGGAAGAAACCTCTCTCAAAACTCTTCCGTCGATGGTGATTGGTATTGGTTATTGTTGTTGTTCGTTGGTTGGATGGTTATCTTCATCAACTCCATCTTCTCTGCGTTCATCTGACGTCCTGTCTTGGCCGCCTGCACACGTGTTTAGCCAGTCTGTTGGTTTTCTCCCGCTTGCTTGCAAGTCTTTGAGTTTGTGTGACATTCAATATAAATCATCCACACACGAAATCCGGATCTTCTAAAGTCTTCTCATAGGTGAGTTCAGTGTACTCCTGTCTTCTTGCTTCCCATGAACAGTGTGCAGCATAATCTAGTCCACTACAATTAAGAATATCGTCAGCGAAATAATAGGCAGCCAGCCTCGTCTTACTCAAGTCAATAAACCACAAATTACCAATTTAAGGTTTACTTTTGTTACTTGATTTGTGATACCCACAATTTTTTCATTCACTTGCAGTTGTTGCTGTAAGTGACAAATTTGGGACATTTTTAAATATCCCTTTTAACTATGCTGGAATTTCGACAATATCACCATCAGCCTGATAATTACTGACTCTGACTATAAAATGAGGCGTTATTCATGGTGTTGGTATAGCTTACATGAAACACAGATAAGTGCACCACAGAATGTAACTTTATACACTACAGCCTCGTCATTCACATGGTTTGGGGTTCGGTCTCCTGCTGACGCACACCCGATATCTATGGTCGGCCTGCAAAATTTGGGCTACCGATATCCTTGCTGAAAATTCCATACTTGTACTAAAATGACGGTGTGGCGTCAAGCTGTAATCAAAAATAAAGTATAAAAAAATATGACATACTGAGTACCATTCAGTGGAAATAGTCTTTTTGTTCAACTAATTTTATTTAAGAACAGCGAGTCAAAATTGAATTGCCTCAATTTATTTCATTCAGATGACATTACAAATAACCTTACCAGCACACAGACAGTATTAAATATACAAAATTATGCAAACTATTTGAATTTACCTTCGAAAAGATGCTTTCTCGACAGTCCTTGTTCTGTTTGAGCACTAAAATACACCAAAGAAGAAGAAGTTAACACTTCAGAAAAGAAAAAACAGACTTTTGTGACAAACACAATTTGAGTCACTTTCTAAACTCAGCCTAATATTTGTTTTCTTTGACAAGGATATTGTGATATCAAACCATGGTCAAAATTGAAAAACAAATTAAATCGATACAAATCAACTCTTGAAAAGTTATTCTGCTGATCACAAGTCACTGGCTAAAGGAGAGAGTTTCCTGGAGTTCTAGTGTGAAATCGTGACCAGTGAGGTCCATCCTGTAGGGAGTTTGGAGAAATTCTTGCCAGTGATGACATTGGCTGGTTGGTGGTCGCGTCAGAATTCATGGACTGGCCATTGAGGAGTTGATTTCCAGTAGCCTGAATAGTCTACGATTTTTTCTGATAACCGGAAGGTCTTGGGTTCCAACCCTTTTGGGGCATGCGTACTGCAGATGAGTCAGTTCCAAACTAGGACGAAACAGCTGACTGTGCAGTACTCTCTGACATTTTTAATGGTTCTCTAACTAATATCAATCCGTGGTTAGTCTTGTAAAACAAATTAAATCCCTACAAATCAACTCGTGAAGAAAGTAATCAGATTAGTTGTGGGACAATTAGTTAATTGAAAATTCGTGATGATAAACATCTAAGATACCGTTTCCCAGCGGGTTTATTTCCCAGTGTCAGCAGTTTGAAATAGGCTAATAAAACGTGACAAATTCGATTTCCTACCCCTCTTACTAAGGCGTTAGATCTGCGATAACTGAAACAGATCCAAAGACTTTGACCACTTACAATCACAGCTAGATGACAGAAAAAATTGCCATGCCATATCAAATAGTTTCCTGTTTAACCTAAGGCTCAGGTAGAAGAGAGTTTTGTTTTAAAGTCACGACTAAAAACAAGAGACTAAAATCTGTCTAGTCAGTTAGTCAGTCCGGTGTGTGAACAATTAAGTAACGTTAAGATTCAAGTGTTGGTTTGCAGGGATTTGATTTGATTGGTTACAGGATTCCATCATGATATATCATTGGTTAGAGAACCGTTGGAAAACCACCAGGGAGTACCGCACATCCAGCTGTTTCGTAAGCCAACTTTAGGATTGACTGTTCCGCAGTAAGCACCAACCGGTTACAAGGCTGGCAAGGTCGTAGACCACTAGGCCGCTGGGACTCGATCCAAATTCTGCGGATTCACGATATTATAGCGCGACTGGCGGTAGCCAATGTCATCACTAGTAAATATCTCTCCTCGCGCCCGACCTGTTGTACCCCACTAGTCACGACTTCTCATTAGAACCCAAGTAACCACCTGCCTACCTACCGGAATAGGGCCAGTTGCTAGTGAGCATCAGATTCATGTTATTAGCTTTTTATTACATTTTATCTTAAAGCATTTTGAAAACATTAGATCTAAATATTACCAGAGAATGCGGATAAACAATTACTTACTCTCCACTTTTCGACAGTCTGCAGGAAACAATGTAACTGGATCGTCTGAAAGAAAACAGAATCATACCAGTTTAAGTTATGTCTTATATATATATATATCATCAAACAGACATTGATTTATTTGAAGAATGCACAACAATATCTATCGTACTGCATAATGATGTAATGGTTTCTCCGTAAATGAGAATAGTCTACAGGCCACTTGGACTAAAATGAAACATTATGTTAGTATCAGCAATGGATACATTATGTCTGACTAAAGAAAATAAACGGATTTTTAATCTTATTAAGTTATCTAAGCATCTGCATACATGTAATGATAATTAATATAGTGAGTAGACTTGTGGGTCGTTGGTTCAGTGGTAGAACACTAGCCAACCGTGTAAGTGGCCCTGGGTTCGACACCCGGGCTCTCCAGCGCACTCCTTCACCTCACTAAGCCGGTAGTATGCCGGGTAAAGAGGGAAGGTTGGGTGTAAGGTCAGCTACATCACCTCGTAAAAATAAACATCACTCCTACTGAAACTCCGAAGTTGAAGCTTGAAGCCCTATGTTCCACACTGTGAATTCATTGTCGAGTATTGAATAATATTACTGTTCAGCACCAAGTACTTCTTTCAGTCGGTATCCATCGTTTTCATGTACCCTGACATGCTGTACTGTGCTATACCTGTGTAAACAGTAAGCTATTGGTTGGTCTATTAGTTATAATACAAGATAAGCGGACAATAATTATCCAGATGGATACCGTTTAAAAAATAATGAATATTCGACAGTCTCCCAATTGATTTCCATGCCTCCCAACTATTCACAGAGAAGACTGTTGAAATGATATTAGAATGTCTAATCCAACAGAGAGAAAAAGTGTTAATTTACATAATCATTGTACATAAATTCTTCCTAAGCAATTAGCGCTAATATTTGGTTTTCTAATTCACACACACACATTTAATAAGATCTAGGAGGGAATACGTTTTGATTTCTAAGGATCAGATACTGAAACGTAGACATTTCATAAGGCGTTCACCTTTATATGTCCGAAACCTTCCCATATGCACAGTGATTACCTGAAAGGGGTGTATACCAAACTTCAGTTAAAGTTTATTGGTAAAATGTTTAGTATTTTGCATAAACTGACCTACAATTCTCTGTTTTCGTGGTAACTGTCGGGAGGTAAGTGAATACAAATTAACTTAGTTGCTGCTGTTTATCGACTGACATCGAACTCTTGGTGTGTTTTTTAACATTATTGTTAAGATGGATAGTGATGGCGAGCCAGTTAGTCACAGAGCATTTAAGTAGTCATTATATAATTTGGTGCCTATAAATTTGAAAATGCCACAGTGTAGGCTCGAACAAAGTAAGAAGTTAGACAAAGAACAGTTTGCACATGATTTTGAGTCAATACACGAAAATTAACATTGCCAAATCTACTAGTTCTAATGCTACTAATAACAGTATTAATTAGTATGTTTGGTTCACTGAAATTATACATTAATTAAAGATATTTGTGGTCCGCCTAAAAGTTGGGCTACCGCAAACATCTTCCATCAATATACTGCAGATGATTCCTTTTATTCAAATTCTTTGAATCTCGTAAAATTTGACCTCCCATAATTGTTGATATTAGATGGTTACAGGCAATCGGCCACAAGAAGTCTTGCTCGACCTGGGTTTCGTGCTAGTTGGCACCCACCACTATTCAGTAAGACAGGAGTATCCGCAACCTTGAAGGAACTAGTGACTAACTAGTGTCGAATCAAAATATCCAATACAGTCCAACAGGAGATAAACTATGAACCTAAACAGCTCAATGGTAATGTCTCTGACTGCAGGTGGCACTGGATGAAGCAGGTTGGAATCTCACAAAAGAGACATGAGTTCTTTCAAAGTTGCAGATACGCCTACCTTGTTCACTGGTGAATGCCACAAGCACCAAACCTAGGTCCCGACAAGGCTTTCTGATGACTGCCTCCAGCCATCTAATATCAGTATTTCAAAGTGCATCATGATGTTGAGCCACCTAGTGTCACGGTGACCACATTGCACACTTGACTGACTGATTGAATTCAGTCTGCACCAAAACAGAGGACTAGACACACACGCACACATTACACTAGTTACTAACTAGTGTCCAGTCAAAAGTGTGACCTCCAATAATATTATCCACTCTGGTGATTATTCAAAATATTTAAAACCTACTGATTCGCAAGTTTCTACTTAACATGAGAAAAAGCATTATCCAGTTGGATGGCAGTCTATCCCAATACGTAAGATAACTGTTCCTAAGGAGTGCCCATGGTTGACAATGTAACCTCCTGAACTTTTTATAATTGGCAATCAACCAAATATTGTTCATGTCTCGAAGGAGACAAACAAGAGATATCATATCACAATTCAGGTCAGATGGAGCTGTGTCACACGATCGCTTGTCAATTCATGTTCTATTTGAACATCCTGGCTAAAGAGAAGATATCATGCAATAAACTTGGCTGAAAATTCTCTACATTATATGAACACTGTTCAGAATAAAGCTGCTATTATTATTATTATTATTATTAAACAGAAATTCCATAAAAGAAGAAATTCTATTCTACACATAATGATTTGCATGCTTGTTTCACACACACACACACACACACTAATAAACTTGCCTCCAATTCTTCGTACTCAGAATACGTCCCAATGTTCTCTCTGCTCTAAAACAAAATAAAACAATTTCAAGCGATTTCAAGCGAACAAGGAAACTGCTTGAATAATAATTCGGGTTATAAGAAGATGAGAGTTAAAAAAAGAAAAGAAAAAAGGCATGGGAGGAAAGGGATTTACACACTGGCATTTTGTTATCAACTTCTGGAGGATGGCTTTAAATAACAGTTCGTCTAATAAATTACTGTTATTGTTGTTTGGACTGAAGTGATTATATGAATATTATATAGGTAGTTAATACATTTACTCCCCTTTATGAATTTGAATAAAGCAAGAACAACAGTGGTTTGTGCAGAATAAGATAGTGCCTTCATTGTTTATTTCGTTGGCTTCTTATTGGCTGCTTACAGCCTGGAAATTTTACATGATGTTAGTTGACATTATGCTCCAAACGTAGTGAACAGTGCTCAGAAGATTACGCCCATGTAGTTTTTGCACAGGGAGTCCAACTTTTAACAATGTAAACGCATGCATACAATGGTAAAGGAGTTACGTAATAAAGACAAGTGGTGCATAGAAATGTGAGTAAATAAAGATTTGAGTAACAGTTTACTGAGTTCAACTCAAATCATAGAAACAAGAGAGAAGCAAAATTGCAAAATAACAAAGTGTGTGGGG